TCTGCCATGCCTTAGCCGTGGCATCTTGGTCTGCCGCGCCTTAGCCGCGGCACTATGTCTTGTCGCGCCGCCATGTGTTGTTTGATGACGTGTATATTCTTCTATGTCATCTTGAGTGGTGTTTGAATGTCTGTAAGCATTTTTTGACGCCTACAGATACCCCCTCCAAAGTGTCCCAGACTCATCATTTCTTAGAGAGGGGTCTGGGACACTTTGGATATGATAAGCTTTCCCTGCAATCTCTCCAGTGCTTCGTTGAGGAAATAGCGTAGAACGGTTTATGAATAGCTTCAATCCTTGACTTCTTCATCTTTTAGCCTATTCAGTGCTTTGTAGAATAGCTAAAATTCCTCCAGCGCTGCGTTTATTGCGTGGCCGTTGTCGAAGTCTCGAATTAAAACTGCTGTCGAAGAGTTTAAGAAATAGTTTATACTCATATACTATATTGGAGTGTTCGGGAAATAGTTTAACCTCATATACCCGTTGGGAGGTTCAGGTTATCCCTAAGAATATTATGAGTNAGGTACGGGGAATTTTATCCCGAATCCTAAGTAGGGATAAGTCTGCGCCTAACACGCGCTGCCGGTTTAGTCTTTTTTCCGTAGAAAAAGACACCAGAGTTCAATTCTGGGGTATTATATCCTGAAACCTAAGCAGGGATAAGTCTACGCCTAACACGCGTTGCCGGTTAGTTCTTAACCGTCAAAAAGAACACCCGTTCACATATTCAATATTGTGACAGGTTATTATTAATAACACCAAAATCCATGCCTTACACGCATGGGGAATTTCATCCTGAATCCTAAGAAAGGATATGCTGACGCCTAACACGCGTCGCCGGTTTAGTCTTTCTCCGTAAAAAAAGACACCAGAGTTCGATTCTGATAAGTCAGCGTCTAAAACACGTTGCTGGGCAGCCTATTCCCATAACAATGGCAAAGTCTACGTATTCGAAGTCGTAGCATCAAGTCTAAGGGAGTTCATTCCTTTAGCACAACGTTACATGCGGAACGGATTTAGACAATTCGCATGCTAGCCCGATTCAAACGGTAATCTGTAAAGGCTTATCAAACCCGTTGAAGGCTGGGGGTTAGCTAAAAATCCTAAAGTCAACACCTAACACGTGTCGCCGGGTAGCCTATTCCCGTAACAATGGCGAAGTCTATGTATTCATACACGTTGCTGTTTAGTCTTTTCACAGGAGAAAGACGAAGTCTACGTATTCAATATCGTAGCACTAAGAGCGTTAACTCTCTTAGCACAACGTCACATGCGGAACGGATTTAGATAATCCGCATGCTAGCCCGACTCAAACGGTAGTCGGTAAAGGCTCATCAAACCCGTTGATGGCTGAGGGTTTGCCAAAAATCCTATAAATATAAGAGTCACTGACGCATCAGCTTCATTAGTTGGTCTCGTGACTTGAGCATCCAACGACATTCAAAACCCTAGGGTCAACGCCGGACAATCAGCTTTAACAGTTGGTCCTGCAGCCCCAAAATCCTATAAATATAAGAGTCACTGACGCATCAGCTTCATTAGTTGGTCTCGTGACTTGAGCATCCAACGACATTCAAAACCCTAGGGTCAACGCCGGACAACGCGTAACCCTAGGTCAACGCCAGTCAACGCGTTGCAATCAAACAGTCAACGTACGACGTTCGAAACCCTAGGGTCAACGCCGGTCAACGCGTAACCCTTATAAATATTCTTAAGGATAACTCAACAACACTACGCCGGACAACGCGTCGCAAATAAAGACTCAACGCCAACAATCGATGGTCGGCTAAAGATTAGAAAATCAGGAATCGACTTCAAGTTTAAATTTCCGACAACGGTCAGACAATAAATGCAGCACCGGAACTCTTACAGACATTCGACAAAGCACCGAATAGCCTGGAAGATTGAAGGAATCAAGAACGGAAGTCATTCCAAAGTCCCATTACGCCGACTGAAGGTTGGGACAATCATATCCAAAGTATTCCAGACTCTTCTATAAAAGAACGAGGCTGAAATACTTTGGAGGGGGTATCTGTAGGCATATAAAATTGCTTATAGGTCCCTTAGCACAGCTCGGCACAAACCGACGAACCAACGAGGCGACGAGGTTGACGAATCGCACGCAAAGTTTATACTCTTGTACTCTTTGGAGTATTGAGGAACAGTTTATACTCTTGTACTCTTTGGAGTATTGAGGAACAGTTTATACTCTTGTACTCTTTGGAGTATTGAGGAACAGTTTATACTCTTGTACTCTTTGGAGTATTGAGGAACAGTTTATACTCTTGTACTCTTTGGAGTATTGAGGAACAGTTTATACTCTTGTACTCTTTGGAGTATTGAGGAACAGTTTATACTCTTGTACTCTTTGGAGTATTGAGGAACAGTTTATACTCTTGTACTCTTTGGAGTATTGAGGAACAGTTTATACTCTTGTACTCTTTGGAGTATTGAGGAACAGTTTATACTCTTGTACTCTTTGGAGTATTGAGGAACAGTTTATACTCTTGTACTCTTTGGAGTATTGAGGAACAGTTTATACTCTTGTACTCTTTGGAGTATTGAGGAACAGTTTATACTCTTGTACTCTTTGGAGTATTGAGGAACAGTTTATACTCTTGTACTCTTTGGAGTATTGAGGAACAGTTTATACTCTTGTACTCTTTGGAGTATTGAGGAACAGTTTATACTCTTGTACTCTTTGGAGTATTGAGGAACAGTTTATACTCTTGTACTCTTTGGAGTATTGAGGAACAGTTTATACTCTTGTACTCTTTGGAGTATTGAGGAACAGTTTATACTCTTGTACTCTTTGGAGTATTGAGGAACAGTTTATACTCTTGTACTCTTTGGAGTATTGAGGAACAGTTTATACTCTTGTACTCTTTGGAGTATTGAGGAACAGTTTATACTCTTGTACTCTTTGGAGTATTGAGGAACAGTTTATACTCTTGTACTCTTTGGAGTATTGAGGAACAGTTTATACTCTTGTACTCTTTGGAGTATTGAGGAACAGTTTATACTCTTGTACTCTTTGGAGTATTGAGGAACAGTTTATACTCTTGTACTCTTTGGAGTATTGAGGAACAGTTTATACTCTTGTACTCTTTGGAGTATTGAGGAACAGTTTATACTCTTGTACTCTTTGGAGTATTGAGGAACAGTTTATACTCTTGTACTCTTTGGAGTATTGAGGAACAGTTTATACTCTTGTACTCTTTGGAGTATTGAGGAACAGTTTATACTCTTGTACTCTTTGGAGTATTGAGGAACAGTTTATACTCTTGTACTCTTTGGAGTATTGAGGAACAGTTTATACTCTTGTACTCTTTGGAGTATTGAGGAACAGTTTATACTCTTGTACTCTTTGGAGTATTGAGGAACAGTTTATACTCTTGTACTCTTTGGAGTATTGAGGAACAGTTTATACTCTTGTACTCTTTGGAGTATTGAGGAACAGTTTATACTCTTGTACTCTTTGGAGTATTGAGGAACAGTTTATACTCTTGTACTCTTTGGAGTATTGAGGAACAGTTTATACTCTTGTACTCTTTGGAGTATTGAGGAACAGTTTATACTCTTGTACTCTTTGGAG